CTTGGTATTTGATTGATGTTCACTCTTCAATATAGAAATATTGTGTTTTATTAAAAACCCTTGAGCAACTTAGTAATGGCATTTTGTAATGGCTCCTTAGAGGTAATCCCCATGTAAAATATGTTAAAATAATTCAGACCTGAAGTTATTAATGCATTAGTGCATTGTTTGTCAAGTTTAAGATGCTGGCTGGGGAATTCTGGGAGTTGAATCCCAGACATCTTAAAGTGGTTGAGGTTGAGAAACACTGCATTAGTGCAATAACCATTCATTCATGATCAACCCTATCCAGGAAAGACTGCATGTATCACTCCAACTAAAACCAGTAACATGTTTTTAGGCACTGATAATTTTGCAGATCCCACCCAACTCAAACCTTCCTCCTGCAGGAGGGTACAATAACCACAGTGCATAAAACTAAACTGAATATGGGAAACACCCACCGAACCTAAATCTTAGTAGGAACTACTAGCTTTACCTAATTACCCTTTTATGGTCTGTTATTGCACAGAAACATTGGCCATGAACATTCATGTTGTGTATGCAATAGAAAAGAAGAAATGCATGTTATTTTGAATGTCACCACTTTGCTACAAATCTCCTAATGGCTGCATCAATTATAATATAAGTACCATTGGAGATTGTTAGGAATATGAGTCACCTAACAGCTATTTGGGTTAGAAATATATAAACCAGGATAAACATTTTAAAACTGTATCTTTAAGAAAATGCAAAACTGCAATTGGGTGTGGTTACTCAAACGGCCATAAGATGGAGCCAGAAACCTGGGTAGTTTAGTCTTAATCTCAGAAGAGAGGGTGACTCTATCTCTGTTTCCTTCTGTTGGAAAGTATTGCCGTTGCTCCATTTCTTCTAATTGACTGATATTACTGGATTTGATGTAAGTCTGATACTGAACTGTTTTTTGACACTGGACTTTGATATTTGGATTATCCCTGGATTGAAAACTGACTGATTTACTTGTGAATGACTTTGGATTGCTTATTTTGGACTTTGCTTAAACCTTTCTGGAAGTAAAAAACGTACATTTACTGTACAGTGTATCTGTGTGCTCTGTGTGTATTACTCAAACACTTCTCTCAAATACGTCTCCCTGTGTGCGTTCATTCTCCTAATGGGGAATTACCTCAACAGAGATTTTTAAAAAGGATTACATGTTTATAAGTATTAGCATCTAAGGCAGGGGGCCAGATCTGGCCTGCGGGGCCATCCTGGAAAAAGCGAAGGACTGGCCCACAGTGCTTCTGCCAGTGAAAACAGAGCTTGGTTTTTGCTGACAGGGTTGCAAGAGGCTGTTGCAGCTGAAAACAGAGCTCAGGAGCCTGTTTTCTTTAGCAGAGTGCTCAGGCCATCACAGGTGCCCCTGACATGAGTGACGTCAAACTGGCCATGCCCATCCTGGCCATGCCCACTCCAGCCCCCCCAAGGTCAAACACAACCCTGATGCAGCCCTCAATGAAATTGCGTTTGACACCCTTGATCTAGGGTAAACTGCTTTATATGTGCAACATCAATTTTATGATCACTGTTTTTAATTCTCTGGTGTGTATTGAGTACATTTTGTTTATACAATTGTCTTCTTTTACATTTAAGATCCCTACCTGGTACCACAGCAGCTGAATGTGCATCAAATTTGAAGAAGATCTACACAGTAGAAACTGTACAGGTAAAAACGTGTGTTAAGCATGATAATTGTATAATGGAATACAAAATTATGATGGTCTCAGATTTTAGGAAGGAAAGTTTCTTAAGCCAAAGGAGACTGTGAGCATTTTACTTGTTGTCACTGCATTAACTGCCAGTGATTGAAAAGAATTTGAGGCAGTTTCTCTTTAGCTGAACATACTCTTCAGTGCAGCTGAATTTTTGTGTGTGTAAAGCAAATGCTTTATAATTGAGCTATGAACTTTTCCTAAACAAATGGTAATTTCATATTGTTTGCTGGTATTTGTAAATTAATAAAATCATTATCCATGTAGATCTTCTGGAGCGTTTATAATAATATTCCTCCTGTGACAAACCTGTCTCTGAGATGTAGTTATCATTTAATGCGTGGAGAAAGACGACCACTGTGGTACGTATTCAAATGATTGATGTGTTTTGGGAATCTGTTGTATTTATTGGGGGGGGGGGGGAGCAATATAAAAGACATTGGGAAACAAAGAACAGAAGAATATTAGATACTTTTTTTTTACTATGTCTAATATGGGACATTAGATGATTCATGTTTGTCTTTCAAAGCTTCATGGATTGTTCTAGTTAAAAGTTCATGTTAAGCAATACAATGTTTGTCTATTGCATGTATTTGAACTAAAACACACTTTGTAAAATTTTGGTAGAACTTTACTAATGAATGCTTGCAACAATGCTGCTGAAAAGCCAAGGTCTACTAAACTGAAGTATTAGTTTACTTACTCAGGGAGACTTTTGAGTTTGTAGTGATAAACCAGTTGGGCCACTTTTTCATGTAATGGTTTACTGTTCTTCCCTGAAGTCCATACTGTATCAGCAGCTTTCACTTACAATTGTCATCTGCATCCTATCATAAATCAGAGATGAGTAGCTTGTAGGCCCCATTTGCTGTAGTGCCCCTCATCTCAGGCCCTCCCATCATTTTAAATTTTGGCAGCAGGCAGGCAAAGAGGAATAGTGGCATTTACTGAGTTATAGTAAAACAAGTAAAATAATAAAATTTTATCTGTTGTAAAGTGTTTTAATTTAAAAACAACTTTTTCCAAATGAAAAAGATACTAGAATTTCACCATCATTTCTCCAAATAATACTATCCTATAATTTCATTTCCCCCTGTGGTTGTCCCTCAGTATGTAAAGTGAAACCTTCATTTTGAAAATTGCTTATATTGTCTAAAGCAGTGGTTGCCAACCAGTGGGCCGTGGCCCACTGGTGGGCCGTGGAAAATTTTTGGTGGGCCGCAGAAGAAATGGCCCCCAAAAGCAATTAATCTGGACTGCGCAGTTCTTGCACCTCCTGGCTCTCCGAGGGACCCTGGAGTCAGGCCCCTGAAATGCACGCGCCAACCAGCTCCTACACCCGGCGCCAACAGCAGTCCCCTCCCCCAGCGCCCACTGTCAGCTCTTCCCCATTAGTTCTCTAGCTTTGAATTGCTCCTGGCTTTCTCTCTTTCCTTCCCCCCCCCCTCACGTGCAGGCAAGAAAGGAAAGGGAGACGGAGTCGTGCACAGCTCTCCCCTTTTCCAGCCCTTGCTGCCTCTCCCAATATCGAAGCCTTGGAAACGCAGGCAAAGCCACCGCAGTAGTAGCGTCCTGAGTTGCCTTAGCATGCTTGGTTAGTTAAGAATTGCCCTACCCAGAGAAGGAAGTGGTGCTGGAGGAGGAGGAGGCAGTAGTGGAGAAGCAAGCAACTCAGGGTGCTACCGCTGTGGCGGCTTTGCCTGCATTTCTGAGGCTTCGATGTTGGGAAGAGGCAGCAAGGGCTGGAAAAGGAGAGCTGTGCACGGCTCCGGCTCCCTTTCCTTTCCTGCCTGCATGTGGACTGGGGGAGGAAAGAGAGAGAGCCGGGAGCAATTCAAAGCTAGAAAACTAATGAGGAGAGCTGACAGCGGGCGCTGGGGGAAGGGACTGTTGTTACCGCCGCCACCATGTGTGGGAGCAAGCATCTCAGGTACCTGAGCCAGGAGGCACGGGAACTGCAAGTGGGAGCATTTGATGATTTCAAAGAATTCCTGGAACACGGTAGATTGGTGTTTTGTACGTCTCAGTGAAAGAGGGAGCTTTGTTTCGTCTCCTTTCCTGCTCTGGTACTGCGAGAGATGCTTTCTCTCTCCCTCCCCCTCACCCCAAATAATCACTGGCTGTGGCTGGGTTTGGCAGCGAAGTGCTAAAGCGAGTGAAGTGCCCCCAGGGACACCTTTCCTTGCCTGTCTCCAGGTGACGATGGAAGAGCCCACCCCCAGCTTTTCCTCGGCTGCAGATCTGAGCCTCTCAATCCTCCACCTAGGTTCTGAAAGGAGCTCCCACTTTCTCCCCCTCCCCTCCCCAAATTAATCACCAAGAGCGGCAGTCCTTCTGCAGGCAGATGCCTGCTGAGAAGCCCCTGGAGTGGCAGCCAAGGGGCGCTGCCCCCCAAGGAGAGCAAAGCCCCCTCTCTGCCTCTGCTTCTCCCAGCGACATTTGCCACGAGGCCCCTCAGCTCAGACACACACACACACACCACCCGCTCTTCTGTCTCTTTGGAAGGTGCCAGGTGAGGGGAGGCTTCCAGCCTGGAACGTTTTATTTTGTTATCATTAAGCATTTACATTTTTGTTATAATTAAATAAGTGTGTGTGTGTGTGTGTATCATGTATGTATGTATGTGTGTGTATATGTGTGTATATATATATATGTAATTATATATATGTATATATATATGTATATATATAATTTATATTTAACATAAAAAATTATATTAAATATATTAGCTTTTTTAAAAAATCGTATTAGTGGTCCTCGGGATTTAAAAGTATGAGTTTGGTGGTCCCTGAGATCCAAAAGGTTGGCGACCCCTGGTCTAAAGTGTTCCCCGATTGAAATAGAAACGCTGGTGAAAGTCTGCAGGATTCTCAGTCATCTGGGTCATGGTTGCCCCAAAGGTGCTTTTTCAGGAGGCAACTGGACTTTCTTTTTTCTTTGAAGAGGTTTCGCTTCTCATCCAAGAAGCTTCTTCAGCTCTGACAGGATAGTGGGGAATGGAAGGATTTATACTCTTTGCAGACAGTTGGTCATTTGCATCCTTTTAGAGGGTCATTGAAGCACGTAGAGGTTTATCTGTGTCCTTAGAGTCACCTGAGTAGTGTTTCTGTTTCCTGGAGTCTGCAATTTTCTCTCTCTCTCTGGAAATCATTCCTACTCCCATACCATTCAAAGGGTGTTCATTCCTAAATTGTATAGCTATTTGAATGTAGAAATGTTGGTGGTTATTTCAGATTGTTTAGTTAGACCACCTAAGATCATGAAGAGAATTTCATATTTTCCCTAGAAACAAGCAATTTATATAAGGCATATGTAGTGGAGGAAATTATTTTGCTAAGTCAGTTTGATGGTCTTAGAACAAAATTAAGAACTCAACAGGAGTTTTAAACCTAAAGCTTATTGATGACCATTAATTCTACTTGGTCGCCTTTTCTTTTTCTGAAAAGGAAAGTGTTTTTTCTTAATCAATGCCACAAAACTCAGGAGAAACAGAAAATTTAAATGAAATAACATTCTAAGCTTCCGACTTCTTGTGGGTTACTAAGTTCTCTTCATGATGTTTCTATGGAATAAACGTAGCCCTGCATTCACACTATTGTAAAACTGTATAGTGAATCATGTGTTTTTTCACAAATCAGGGAAGAAGAAAGCAATGCCAAAGGAGGTGTATGGAAAATGAAGGTGGCCAAAGACAGTACGGTATGTTGTTTCAGTGTGCACGTAATTTTATGTTGAGGTATATTAGTGCAGAGAGACTCATATCACATTTCCAGTTACATGGGTTATATAACTTGGAACCTACACAGCATTATTTAGTGTCAAATAAGTAAAAACAAAGCCTGTTCATAAAGCAGGAAATCCCTTCCTTTTCTCTCTTTTTGCATATCTTCCACATGCTTTGTTTAGGGGAGGATTTTTCAGCACACCAAGTATTCACTCATCAAAAGAACACTTATTTGCTTGCCTTATCTTAAGAATTGTAACACTTAAGTTTGCATATCACTGTCAGCTTCTTCTAGTTCTGGCTTAATTCAGTGCATAAATTATTAGTGGCATTATTATTAAATTAAAAAGTTTTGTTTTCAGTGATAAAACCCATGCTGCCACTCTATTTCCTTTTTTTGTGTCTGCCCATTAATAGATAGCCAAGATATTTAGACTTTGAGCCTCTAGGGCAGAGGCATTCCAAACCTTGTGAGCAGTCACCAGAACTGCACTATATGGACAGACAAAGGGTGATGTATTAATGGTAAATGTAAGTGTAGTCATCATTTACCATTCATGGCGTTTGTAAGTGGACAAATTAATAGAATTCTGTGCAGAATGAGCATAAAAACTGACACAGGAGCAATAATCCAACCAAATCAGTTTCTAGACGAAAGAATCCTTTTTCTCTGTATCCTCAGTTAGGAATGTGCAGTGTTTTTATAAAACATGATTAAAAGGATATTAGTTACATTACCTGTTCAGTTCAGCAGCTTCCAATCCATAAATATTTTTCTGCAAACAATTATGAATGCAAAGTTATAATAATATGCATAGCTAAAATAACATGGTAGTTATTGCAAGAAGTTCATTGCAGATCAAACTGGATATGTAGTATGTGGCAAAAAATATGTGGCATCTTAATTTCCTTTTTTTTTTTTTTTTGCTAGTCTGCAGTTTGGAAAGAGTTACTGTTAGCTACAATTGGAGAGCAGTTTACAGACCATTGTGCGACAAGTAAGAATATGTTTTTATTATTTGATGTTTGCTTTAACTTGTGAGCATCTCGTGCCTAAGCTTGCTGACCATTTTAATTTAGCTGGCCAATGTTTGCTAGGACTTTCACATTCATAGTGGATTGGTTTTTGGCCTGAGTCAGCTGGTACTAAAAGGTACCTGTACTGATTTTTCTTCAACTTTATCTAAGAGTGAAGCCAACAGAAACAGTAGTTTCATTCAGTTATATGTGTATATGTTTGACATGCCAGTTGGTGTTTTTTGTAATCCTTTTTTTTTTTTTTTTGTAAGGATTAGTTTACAAAATCTGCCCGGTTTTTATGGGCACAAGGCTATCACCACACCTACACAAAAGGAACAGAAAAAATATGATCTTAGAAAAGATAATGCTACGTTTTATCTGCTAACACTGTTGCCAAACGGAATGGAAAGCTTGACTTTTATCCTGGTGTGTAGCTTACTGACTTAGAAAGAGAGCAGTTCCTCTTGATGAGGTCAAAACAAAGAAAGAGAAACTTAGGTCATAGAGTCAAATACCTAATCAGTGAAGGAATCTAAATTAAAAATATCCCCAACAGATGGGACTGTCTCATCTCTGCTTGAACATAGGCAGTGAATGGAACCCACCTTCTTGGCTGGGTCATTGATTCCATTGTCAAACTGCTCTTACCATTGGGAAAAGGTTTACTTGTGTGACATCCTTTCGTGTATTTATCTACCATTTTACTCTGTTTTTATATTATTCCCTCAGGGTTCTCTTGACTAAACATACCATGTTCTTTCAGTTTGAATGTGTGGGGCTTTGTTTTTACCCACAATCATTCTCACTGAAATCATCTTTCCCTGTTTTCATCTGTTTCAGTTTTTCTGAATATCTTTCTTAAAGTGCAATGCCCAAAGTGGGCAGAGTGTTAAGATGGGTTTGTCCAACACAGAATATCATAGAACAATTATTTGATTTGGAAATGATACAGTATAACATTACATTTGACCTTTTGTAGCCACAGTATACCACTGATTCATATTCTGTTTGCAATCAGACAGAATATTCGGTTTGCAATTAGCTAGTACTTAGAAAGAACCCTTTTTTGCAAAATACCATCAAGTCTATATCTTACTTATTTTGTTTCCAACATTTAATTTTTGTTTCCTAAAGTGAAAAGATTTGCATGTATTTTCATTAAAATCCACCCTGTTATTTTCTCTAAGCTATCAAGATTTTTTTGAATTATTTCTTCTGATATATTCTCTACCTCATATATTCATCTGCAAATTTAATAAATGTTTCCTATACCTTTTTATAAAAATCGTTAATAAAAATACAGAGTACAGAACACATATCTGAAGTAGCCACTCAGTTATCTCCCTCCACTGTAATAAGGAGCTTTCGATTAGCATTTTTTATATTTTTAGATAGTTACATATCTATTTAATTGTCAGGAAAACCTCATCAGATTACTTTACTAAAATCAATATATGTTCCTTCTCCATCATTCCATATTCTGTGGAATAAGGATAATATTTGTTCTTGACAAATCTGTGTTGGCGTCTTGTAATTGTCATACTTTTTTGCAAGACGTTTACAGATTATTGTCTTTATGATCTGTAGTAGAATCTTTCCCGATACTGACTGATATTGATTGGTCTGTATTTTATTGGATATTATCTTTCCCTTTTTTGAAAATGAGGGCAAGATCCTGTTGTCACCTGGCACTATGTCGGTTCACATGATTTCTTCAAAAAGATTTGGCCGGATAGTTTGTTCCTTCAATAGGATGCAATTAATTATGAATTTTAGCTTTGATGATATTATTTCTCCACTTGAAGGCTATATGTATGTACTTTTTCTTCATGACCTCTCTTTCCACATTGTATATATTTGTGAAGCCACATTAGCTTCTGTTGCCATCCATTTTCTTCCTGTCTTTAGCATTTTGTCTTTTAGTATCTTTTGAGGAACTTCCATCTGTCTTCAGCTCCTTTTCTTATTAACTTCTCCTGCCATGGATTCATTCTTGCTTGGAATCCAAAATACACAGCTGACTATTCAGACTTTACTTTTCCTTAAAATCAAGACCTCAAGTGCTACAGTTATTTTTCTCCTAATGTTCATGGCTGCTTTCTGTTCCTTGACTAAGTCTTCCCTGCTACCAGTGGTTAATGTTACGTCTAGGATAACTGATTCTCTTACACAATACTCTGCACCCTCTGAAACTCAGTATAGAAATATTGAGGTAGAATGTTTAGCATTGCATGTCAAAGAACATAAACATGTCTTTTCATTGTGATTGTTACACTTTATTTAATAAGCTCATTTCGTGTCTCTGTTTGTAGGGTAAGAGTTCTGTATTAAGTTGAAAATATTTCTATCACTTGACTCCCAACAACTCTGGTCAAAAGCATTGAAAACAGTACCAAAGTAAATAAAAATAAAGAAGTCAAAATTGGCAAAGATGACAAAACCAGATAGGAATAAAAAAGAACAGATTTACACAGCCCAAAGGAGGCTTCAATCATTCTTGCCAAAGGCCTGGGCAAAGTTTTTTTAAAAGCAAAATAATATTGTTTTTTTTCCAACAGATGATGAAGTAATTGGTGTTAGTGTCAGTGTTCGTGACCGGGAAGATGTTGTTCAAGTCTGGAATGTAAATGCATCATTAGCAAATGAAGCTTCAGTTTTAAAAAAGATCTATGAGCTTCTGCCCCAGACATCTTTTAAAGCAGTTTTTTATAAACGTAAGTGGCCTCCGCACGCGATGTAAGTAGAGCACAATGTTTACAAACTGTATCAACAAAATCTATTTAAGACTCACGAGCTATCTTGCCTTTCAGCCCATAAAGAACATCATGCTTTTGAAGGTAGACGTGGGAGACATTAACAAGGACAGAACTTGGAAGATTTTTCTAGAGATCACCGCAACAGAAAGATGGACAAAACATTTACAAAAGCACCACAACCCTTAGTATATTTTTTTAGATCTTTGTATTCCTCTTGAGCCACTGGTACTGAAAAGCAAGGAGAACTGCTGCCTCAGTAGCTGATACTATTTTGATTTGTCAACTCAGTAAATCAGTTTCTTTTAGTATTCCTTTCTTTTTAAGGTAGAAGACTACAGTTAAGCAATTCTCGGTATCTGCTTGAACTGCAAATGTGCAGAAGCATGATATGCTGCTTTTTTTTTTTCTAGATCTGTATCTAGATAAATCATAGCTTAGGGAACCATGTTTTCTGAATTTGTTTTTAGACATTCCTATCATGTTCACATCTAGTTGTAGATTACTCCCCCCCCCAAAAAAAAAATGTGCACTGTTCTAATCCGCAATGACTAATTGAATCATGCCAATTCTGCCCAATCTCCATTAAACAAATGGAACTTTTACTGCACCTCTGCTATCTGGCTTGCTTTTTAGCACCCCATAACCTTTGCACTTGATAATGCTCATGCTGTAATGATGTTTTAATAATCACTGAATAGAGCCTATAAATTGAGGATACAGTTCTATTTTGACAAAGTCTGGGGGGAGAAAGCCCTTAAGAAAGATTGACTTGGTCCACACCCATTAATCACCCCTCATTCTTGAAATTCTAAGCTAGGCAATGCTTAGATTGAAGCACTGTTTGTGATTATGTATCTACTGTGATTTCTATGATAGTAGCAGCACTTGAGTTGCTACAATTGTGCTGTTAGTGCAGAGACTACAGTCAAGTGTGAAGCAGTCAAATGTTAGTTGATGTCTGTTTTATGGCTATTTCAAAAATCTTAACGTAGAAGAATAAGTTTTCATTGGGAAACCCTACAACTTTTATTTCTTATGTTTGATTTTTTTTCTTAACACTATATTTTATGTATCTCTGAAAAATAGATAATGCTTTCTACTATGTTCTCACTTAAAATACAAACTTCACATGTCTATTCTTCATACTTATAATAATATACCTCCCCTCCCATCATCCTCAATACAATAACAACACATACTTTTTTTATCCTTTAAGGTCAATATCAATTGAATAGTACCTTTATGGTTAACATAATCAGTACAATTTTGTGTAGTTACAAGTTATAACGCCTTAAGTACACTTTTCAGCATAGAGAGAAGTCAATTATATTTTAAAGCATGAATGTGAACTTTTCAAATTAGTTTGTGTGATTTCCTCCCCATACTAATTTATTGGAGGTTGCAATACATTTTTATTTTTTATTACAAAACCAAAGATTTATTTAGTTCCTCAGCAGAGGATGCCGATGTGCTAGAAGGGACGTTCATTCCCATCTAAGCAGAATTACTGGATTAGTATTAGTATTTTGAAATTTGTTCTGACTGCACTGATATCAATTCACATTTAATCGTATAAGAAGGTGGCTGTTGGAATTCATTACATTTATGAATCAAGTTTTTCTTTTTAATTTTGTACTAGTTCATCTGTATTTATGAATTAAACTTGTGCATTTACCAAACCTTATTAAAAGTTTTATAAATTCATGTGTATGGTCAGTAATTACATTTTATATTTTCACTTTTTAGAACTGTAAGGCTTCTCAGACCTCAACATACATACATACATACATACATATTCATAATTCTTTCAAGAATTTAGTGCTGTATAGTATATTTACATCTACTAATAAAATTTGGAGCTGAAGAAGGTAATAAATAAAATGGCAAAAACATTTGTGTCCCATTGAGAAAACTGTTGATAGATGGATTGAAATATGATTCATTTAGGACATTCTCAAGACGTTTTTTGGCATATCACTCTCAACTTTTTTTATTTTTTATTTATTTGATTTCTCAATCACTTACAAGATAATAGGTAAAAGTATAAACATGAGTAAGAATATAGGAAATAGGTACGAATAAATGGGGACAATAGGACAGGGATGGTAGGCACGATGGTGCACTTATGCACCATCATGTTATTTCCCTTCATGTTATTTAGTCTCTATCATAATATAGGAAAATAAAGAATGGCCGCTTCCTCATCATGTGGCAGAGCAATCTAGTAGTTATTTTGCCAACTGTCAAAGTAAAGGAACCTTCAGAAACTTGATTATATTCAGAATGCCCTGGGGTGATCCACATATCTGATGTTGTCTGTCTTGCTTTCCTGCCGAGTCATGGGAAAAGGGTGATTCAAGTGTTTAAAGACAATGTTGAGGATCGTTCCATACTTTGGCTAAAGTCAATGTTGTGTTTAAAGATGAATGCATTTAAAAACAATGTTTAAGATGTGTTTAAAAACAAGGCTGAAGATAATTCCATATTTTGGCTAGTTCAAACTTCCTGTGTGTGGAGTGTTTCAGCAGCGATAACTCCTTCATATTAGTTGTGCAAATAATTTTTATGCAGAATCATATCAGCCCAGTAAAACAATCATGGTTGCTCTAATAATGATAAGTTATTGTATCATGTAGACATGAAGGAAGCTTTTTTAATGGCTTCTAATACCATCAAGCAAAGTATCTTCTTGGGCTACTTAACTGAATAAAAAATGTAATTCCTTCTAGAGACTGGTATCTGCAACAGCTTAAGCCACAGGACTGTTTTGCCCTTTGGCATCTGGTAGACTTGTCCCTAATATACAGGTAGCCCTCGACTTACAACTGTTCATTTAGTGACTGGTCAAAGTTACAATGGCACTGAAAAGGGTGATTTATAACCAGGGGTGGGATTCAGGTTTTTTAACAACTAGTTCTGTGGGCGTGGCTTGGTGGGTGTGGCTTGGTGGTCATGTGACTGGGTGGGCATAGCCAACTTGACATCACTCATGTCAAGTGGCGTTTCTCACCTGGCCTCATGAAAGTGAGGGTGCTACAACTGTCATAAGTGTGAAAGATGGTCATAAGTCACTTTTTTCAGTGCCATTGTAACTTTGAATGGTCACTAAATGAACTGTTGTAAATCAAGAATTACATGTACAAAAATACAAAAAGCTGCTTTGCTTGCAAAAAGCTGCCCTAAATACCAATCATTAGATTAAAAATACCTGCAAGCCAGAGTTACAAATCAGGCAAGGTTCCAGAGCACCTTGAGGAATGAAAATAGTTAAAATGCAGTGATAACTATCAAGCAGCCAACTCTTGCTCATAAAGTGAAACCCTTTAGTAGAGAGGTCATTTAAGCTCTCCAGAAAAAGCACACCTAGGAAAAGCAATCCTTAGATCCATTTGTACCACTTAAAGATACCAGCTGGTCTCACCTCACAAGATATCCTAAAGAAATCATCTAGATTTAAGGAAAGGTTACATGCCCCCTAGAAAGGCAGTAAAAAAATCACTGCCAAGCTTGCATCCTGCCTCTTGGAAGTATACCCCAAAAGGACAGTGCCAGATAGTACTAAAAGCAGTGAGAAAGACCCCCCTCCCCAGATAGAAAAAAACCATGAGGCAAGAAAAAATTCAAACACAATACACATCACAACAGTAGCTGTTGCTTGTTGAAGCTGAATAGAAAAAATTATCCCATCAATAAACACAGGGTTTAACTTCACCAAGCACAGAATTAACCTTCACCAAAAACCAGTTTTAGACCAAAACTCAAAAGAGTATGTAAACTTATGTTTGTCAATTTTTCTATCTAGCCAAGAAGCCTTGCTGAATGTCACTCATCTTGGTTCCCTGTCACTAAAAGCTTGCAGTGTCCAGGGTCATGTCATTAGCTTTTGCAACCTTCTGACAAGCAAAGTCAATGGGGAAGGCAGATTCACTTAACCACCGTGTTACCTAATTACAATGATTCACTTAACTGTTGCAAGAAGGGTCGTAAAATGGGGCAAAATTCACATAACAAATATTTCACTTAGCAACATAAATGTTGGGCTCAATTATGATTGTAACTCAAGGACTACCTGTATTTTCTATAAGGATTGGGTGTGACAATAGGCTGGACTCATATCTGAGCTGCCCTTAAATTGTGAGAGTATGTTGTATGGACTGTTGGATCAGTCCAGAGGCTCTGTTCCACAGTGGTCAATATTTATCGGGAACCTTAGAAGCAGAAGCATGTTAGCCTCTTTCATTTTGGGTTGCCCATAGCAACTAATAGTTTGAGGCATATTGGAGTTGATTCAGAAAATAAGATGGAATGAGCCATTGGGAATATATCTTGCCAACTTTCACATCTAAACAAATATGCTTAGGATTCTTCCTCTTTTGTTAATAATTCCACAATACTTGAGTTCTCATAAGATTTCATACCAGTAACTGTCCTTGCCTGGCTTTCTTTCTGTTTGTGCTTTCCTCTTCTGCTTCTCAATGAGATAGGATTTTTCAGTTATTCAAAGGATCCCCAGAGTACAGTGTTATATTTAACACAATGCCTTTTTAATGTAAATTCCCCTTAACAAGGAGGGCTGTCCCTGAGGCATCCTGATTAAAAGAGCTGCTACAGCAGTAATTACATAGTTCGTCTAAAGAAATAATTTGTAGATGTTATAATTCTGAGATAAAGCCGTATCTTTTCTAATTTTAGGTTCTAGTCTTCCCCAACTGCCTGGTTTTCCTACTTTCTCATTCATATTTCTGCTATTTCTATTTTTCTTTTCTTGAAAAGACTCATCTGAAACAAAGATTTGGTCTCATGCTTGAAATAGAAAATTATACTAGACAACTTCCTCTCTACCCTGTATACTGTAAGCTCATATATATCAATAGCACTTAGACTTAACTAGTACCTCACAGTGTTTTACAGCCCTCTCTAAGTGGTTTATGGAGTCAGCATGTTGCCCCCAACAATCTGTGTCTTCATTTTACCAACCTCGGAACGATGGAAGGCTGAGTCAACCTTGAGCCAGTGAGAATCAAACTGTTGACAGTCATCAGAATTAGACTGCAATATTGAATTTTAACCACTATGCCCCCATGGCTCTGTATCACCATGGCTCTGTGTACATGTATACATACTGTGTATACCTACATATACTCACACATATCAGTGGGCCTTGTTTGCATAGAATGATCTCGTCATATTGTGTCTTGTGAATTGTGTGGTCAGATTATGTGTTGTACAGATTATTTAACCCCTATAAATTATCAACTTCCACAGAAAATACTTGATTTAATCCCAAAGCAAGCCAGTTCTTGCTTGGGTGTGGTGGTGACATAAACTAAATCTCCAATCAAATAGTTCCATGATATGCAAAGTATGTGTTATATCTTGTGATCAGCGGGAAATAACTGAGACGACTCAGATTAACAGAAGCTAACAAAGTTTATTGCTAACAGTGGGTTGCCAACGGGCATTCAGCTAACTGCTCCCTGCACTAATGGCAACCTCAGGCAGCTTCATCTGACAGCTATTTTATACTCCCGGCTGTCAGGCAGCCAGCCAATCAGGAAGCTGTAATCCGCCCCCTAGCTTGTGGACTGGACTGAAGACTCCAGACACAACACTCTTCCCCTCTTAGTGAAGCTAAAGTTGATGCCTTTCTCTAGTAGATCTTTGAAGCTCTCTGCTTCCAGAAAGGATTCTCCGCTGCTTCAGCTTTCTCTGGTTGTTATGCTTCCTTTTCAACTGGTTCAGATTCTGGCTTCACTGGTAAGCCCCTTCTTAATGCTTGATTTTCATTTTGGTTGGATGGTCTATCAGCTGCAACACTTCTGGATCAGTTATCTCCGCTCTCGTCTCCCCTGATGGCTGCAAGTTGCCCTTAACTGGTCAATATGTCTTTTCCATAATTTTCCACCCTCCAGTTCCACTGTGAATGAGTAAGGACCTGATATTGCTATTTCGACCCCAGTAGCTATAGTGGGTGACCTGCGTAGTTCCTCGCATAAACGCAGTCCCCCAGGTTAAATGATCGCCAGTTCCTAAAAGAATCCAGAGGCTTTTCAGGGGCAAACCTGGGATCTAATCTGTAGATTTGTTTCTTAAACGCCGGCCCATTAAGGCCTCCACTGGGCTACGATTAGTCAAAGGGCAAGTGGTTGTGTGTTGTACTAATAGGAACTGGGCTAATTTGGTCTGCCAATCCCCTTTTGTCATTTTGCTCAGTGCTTCTTTAGTAGTTCTAACCATGCGTTCAGCCATGCCATTGCTTCATGCGTGCCAGGGATCAATCAATGAGTGACAGATGCTCTGCCTGGCTAAAAACATACTGAATGGGAAAGAGGTAAATTGAGGGCCATTATCAGAGACTACTTGGTCTGTCAGCCCATGGGTTGCAAACAATTTCTGTAGGGCTCGTATTACTGCTTCTGTAGCGGTGGATGACATGAGAATAACCGCCAACCATTTAGAGAATGCATCCATTACAATCAGGAAGGTGCACCCATGAAATGGGCCAGCAAAATCCACATGAAGTCTGGACTAAGGATTCTGGGGAGTTTCCCATTCCCATACTGGGGCCTTTGGTGGTGCTGACCTGGACTCCTGGCAAGTCCCACACCCTGCAACCCAATTTTCTATTGCTTGGTCTAATCCTGGCCACCACACATAGCTCCATCCCGGAGCCTTCATCCTGACAATGCCAGGATGACCCTTGT